CACTAAGAAGAATGTATGCAGTGTGTTAATTATTGAAACTGTCCTACCGATTTGATTTGAAACTGTCTCATTGCTATTTGTTTATCAATAAAATTATGGCAAAAAAACAAAGGAAGGACCATTTTGAATCTCTATATGCAGAATAGATAGGATAGATAAACAGTTACTTTCGCTTAATTCAATGAAAGGAAAGATTTGTACTAACAGTGTTTGGGCAGAACATTCTGTCTGCATCGTGTACTATAGATAACCACTAAGAAGGCAACAATGTACACTGTATTAATTATTGAAACTGTCCTACTAATAAGTTTTGAAAGTGTCTCATTGCTATTTATTTCTCAATTAAAAAAGGAAAAGAAAAAGAAAATATCTTGTAAATGAACAATGAAGACACCAAAAAGAAAAGACAAAATGCATCTGTATAACTATCCAAAATATTTTGAATATACAGGAAAAAATGTTGTTCATTTGAACACTATATATTCTTTAGTTGTGTCAGAGAAGGGTATTTCACTGTCATTTAAATATGGTAGGTGCGTGTATTCAGCAAAATATTCCAATATAGTCCAGTAGGCCATAATAGTAGTGGGTTTTCCATAATATTGGCAATGTCAGAAGTTGTTGACTTCAGGCTTTTACAGCTCAGCATATTAATATGGCTTTACATTTCATACTTCGTTTTTATACTTTTCTGCTGGATCGTTAAGACCAACATAAAGCAAGACTTACATAACAAGAAAAGTAACTTTGGTATCTGATAAAATTAATCAAGTCTACTCAAGATTTATCCTGACCCTGTACCACAGTTGGTAGATCCTTTGTGAGTGTCAGCCATGTGCATTAGTCATGGCCATTGCTTGACCAATTTGCTCTCTGTGAAAACCTGAGAGATCTACAATCAGTGGTACAGGATCTCAGGATAAATCCTGAGGGGATTTCACTGACATTATCAGACCCAAAACCTACAATTCTTGTTGCATAGAGTGGAAGACCCAATGCTATTATGGACTACTGGACTCTTTTGAAATATTTTGCTGAGTTAATACACCTATAATATTCAAATAATGGGACTAAACAAAAAGGGGGACACAGATGAATGTTCATTTTGTATCTGTGTATTCAAAATGGCTAGGATAGATATGTAGTTACATTCTCTTAAGGAATAGAGGGATTTGTTCTAATGGTGTTTGTAAATAGGATATCATGTCCGCATCTTGTACAGCAATTAACCACTAGGAAGAATGTATGCAATGTGTTAATTATTGAAACTTCCCTACTAATTTGGTTTGAAACTGTCTCATTGCTATTTGTTTCTCAATCAAATTATGAAAAAAAAAGAAAAAGAAAACCTGAGAGAATGTTTTATCTCCATATAATGCTCCTTAGGCACACTCTACATCATGGATCACATTCCACTGTGGCCCCATAATCTCCTTGATCAGAAAATTTGGAACACAACTCAGTTACATGATCAAACTACATTTTTAAAAATATTGGCATCCTGCTTGCTATTTAATGAATGCGGCAAAGAACCAATATTTGGATATATGTGCTCATAAAAATTAAGTTTCTCACTCCAGGTATGGAAGGTTAGTATAAGTCAATGAAGTTACTGACAACTACCTGACTTTCCTCAGACTCCCTCTTCTGTATGCAGTGAGAGCTGTGATCCTGGATTCAGGAAATCTCCACAAGAAGGAAGAGCGGCCTGCTGTTTTGATTGCACCTCCTGTTCAGAGAACGAGGTCACCAATAACACAGGTACAAGCAGAAATCATCCACAACCTATCGGTCTCTCATATTTGGTTCCATCCATCCACAAAATGTACAAAATCATTGAAACAAAACAAAATTAAAAATTTTCTTCTTGAGTTATCTATTTACTGTAATTTTTGAACTCCGTGTTCTTGCCTCTGGGAAGAGAATACTCAGTCTCTTAACCTACGCTTTATCATTTTTAGTTTTGTGTTTTTTACCTGCTTTGCTCTACCTTAATAATCCAAATTTTGTGCTGTATTTTGTTTCCTTTGTATTCTGCATTATATAAGGGAATGGCCTATGAATGAACAGCATTCACAGTATTTTTAACAGAGAATTTTATTTCATAATTATTTAAAAAATCATAAATACTTAACATACTAAGGATTCTTGTCCCAAATATATTTTTAGGATTTTTTTCTGTATATTTGTGTGTGGGTGTGTTTGTGTGTGTATTTTTGTCTGTGTGTGCATGTGTGCAGCTTCTCACTACAGAGCTAAAACTCATAGTGATCCTCCTTATTTGTGCCTCCCTAGTGCTAGGCTTACAAACGAGTGCCACCACATATAGAATACATCAACAGCTCAGCAGGCACGGGAGGAGGACTGGCATGGGATGTGGTGCCAGGAATCAAACTCCAGTCCCAGTGTTTACCTAGACAAGTGCTCAGTCCGCTGAGCTATACTACTGGACCTGTCCCAAATAATAAAACATCAAAATATAAAGCAAAAACAAACCTGACAAAAAAATTTACTGCTATTTTATTTTTTCCTCATTAAAATGAATAAAAATTTTTGTAAAATAAAAAAGGAGGCAGACAAATTAACACTTATACTCTAAGGAATTTTAGACAACAATTAGACTAACAATTTAGATCTTACCAAAAGGAAATCTTGCAAATCGAGCTTACAATGCACTGGAGTGAAACGACATATAGACCATAACCTTTGTAGACGTTGGCAGTGGAATCAAGGGATCTTTTCTTAGTTGGTAGTCATTAAAAAGTAACTCTTCAGAGACCCAGTCCTAGCCCAGGTCCAGTGAGTGTGCGGAGAGTTTCCTGCTACCCTGCGCCAGCGGGACCAGTCCCAGCCCAGGCGCAGCGTGGGCCGGACCCTCTCCCAGCCCCTCGGGCCGCCCCCCACCACT